TGCGACCAGACGTTGATGGTTTCGTTGCAGCGACTGAAGGAGCTTTGTAAACATTCTTGTGCAGAGATCTCAGGTTTTCGATAACCTGTTAAAATGTACGGTTCGCGGAACTCAAATGGGACTTTGAAATTCGGAAGATTGAATTTGTCCTCGCTACGACCATAATCCCGACCAGGAGTTTTCTCTCCGCAGTAACTGTCCATTTCGAAGTTGAAGTTCCTGAACTTGCGCATGCTCATTACAACGGTAGATGAAGAGTCAATATTACCGGAAGTCACAATGTTCATTTGGTTTCTTTTCAAAACAAACTCGTCTTCCGGTTGAAGTTTAGAAGCAAAATAAAGGGTTAAGGAGTGCATCTATTTCTAAAAAGCTGATATACATACCGTTTATTTTTTTGCCAGTGACGACGGTGTAATTATCATTATTAAAATAGCGAGGGAGCTGCTTGTCACTCACCAAAGCGGAAAATATGCAAATTAGTCTAAAGGGCGGACTTAATTACAGTGTATTCATGCGACCTGGGTCCACAGGAAGCGACTTAAAACGGGTGGGAGGTCTTATTGTCACATTCATGGGACCTGGGTCCCACAGGAAGTGACCCAGGTTTGACCCATTCATTCCAGAGTCACTCGACTTTTACGAAAACGCGTAACGGGAGACCACGTGACCAAAAGAAACAATGGGCTCAATGGGTTATCAATGGGTGTGACCTAGATCTCAACGACTGGAATAGATCACTGGCCAAGTTTCATTGAAATCGGAGAGATAGCATGTAGTACACAAGAAGTACACCTGCCTGGTGCACCCATGGACTCAGGTTTAATTTTTAACGGAAGACCAAAAGACCAGCTCAATGGGTTCGAGCTTTCCACAAGTTGCTCGGCAACTTTTTGGCAACTTCTCCTATTTCGAGCAAATTTGATCGTTTCGAACAACTTTTTGCATTCCGGGCAATTTCTCCAGTATTTTTCTACTAATTCTGAGATATCGGAGCAGCTTGTCCTTGCATCCCCTTCGTCCCCCTGGAGCAAAAGCCGGGCTGCTAGGTCAGCAGTTTTTTAAAGAAAATTCAAAATGGTGGACGAAGATTCACAGGCTACACTCTATTGACTCGAGTGACTCAGGTGAAGAAGGTCACTCAACAATTTTACTGGCTCATACCAAATTTTTTACGAGATTAATATTACGTAAAATATTGATGCGTAGTCTTTACTCGTGCAGTTTTGGTTTTAATTGAGGACAAAGTTATTTAGAAACGCGCTGGTTACGCCACAAAATTGCACATTGTCATTTGTTGCACAATTTGCATCAGACCAAACAAAGGAAGAGAGCAACAAAAAACACTGAAAAAAGGCTTTTGTTTTTTCCAGCAACGTTTGAGCAACCTTCGCGTTACAAAAAGCAACTTTTGACTTTTTTGAGCGACTCAGTTTTGATGAACTTTTTGAGAAATTGCGGGAAACGTTTTTGAAAATTTCGAGCAACTCGACTTGGCTTAGGGGAGCGGTAGGTGGGCAGTTGCATAGCTGCTGGCCGCGTGAATGAAAAGGCTCTATAATATTAGCCTAGTATTCTCTTTTGGCTGATGTCCGCTGGGTCATATACCATTCTCACCCAGACCATAATGCACCTTGTCTTTGCCCCTCAAATTTTGCATAACCATTGTTTTCAATTTCTCTTAGAACGAGTGTAATATCCAGGAGAAACTGGAAACAATGGTGATGTAAAATTTGGGGTTTAGCAAGGTGTGTTAATGGTCTCGGTGGAAATGTTTAATTCAGTCTACAATTTCCCCATCAGCATGAATAAAGCACAAGATTTCTTTACTATGGCCAATTCTATACCTTTTCTAAACTCGTTTAGTGTAAACTTGAAATGATATCGCGCTATTTGGCTTTTTATTGGGATGGGTTGCCCAGCCTTTCACTGTAGGTTTATTTGTGGGCGTCAGCAAATTAAATGACCATTTTTGGCCAGATTTGTTTGTAAAGAGCTTCCGTGATTTAATTACACCAAATATACACCATAAGTGTACTGTATCTATCCTCGTTTAGGAATTATAATTAAGCCAACGGAGGAAGAGCTCTTTTTTTTAAATTTATCTTGACGGTTGGTTATTCATAGCCCCGAGATAATTCTTCTGATTCTTTACTCGTTTCACGGCATTATGTACATTTTTTAAATTAAACCTATCTGTTAAACGCTTGTTTTAATAAAGAAAGTATATATTATAAAATGTGTTGTAAATTAAGAAAATTGAGAAATGTGAATAAGTTGTTGTTGTTGGGTTACGACGCAGGAGAGAGACTTGATTGCGTTTACTGCGGGACTGCCAACCTCATTTTCAGCCACGCGACCAAGTTTCCTCTATACCTATCGTTTCCTGTCATTTCCAGTCATTTCCTGTTCAAAAACAAACAAACAAGAAAGAAAAAAAGGGAGGTCAGGAAGCTGATTAAGAGCTGAGTCTCACCTGGGAATCAAACTTCAAACCTCCTGAAAAAAATTAAAGAAGGACGCGCACTAACCGAGTCGCGCTTATCCCGGTTATACGTTAGTACTTCTACCTTTTCAGGACACAAAATTCAACCTTTTGTTAAATTTCGAATCGATTTTTACGTTTTTGATACGTTTATATATATAAAATTGAGTCTTAAAGTAGATCGTACGTTTTCATCTTGTTTTATACGGAGATACTTAAAAACAAAATATTTAACTTCCAGATTTTAGACTATATCGGCTGGCTGGCAGCTGGTCAAAAAAGGGAAAATTGTCTTACCTTTTCATACAGGGTATGGGCTAAACGAAAATTATCAGTAGAAACTTTCGATTCTGGACTGGTTCCTCAGTTTACAAAATACAATTCAAAGTTTTTGACATTTAAAAACTAATTAAATTTGATTTTTGACCAAAAGAAAGATAAAATCTCCTCATTCATAGTCTTCAGCTTGCGGTATCTTTTTCTTCTAATTGTATTTCACTGGAGCTCCAACATTAATTCAATAAATTGCTAAATTCAAATTTTTGGATTTTCACTTCAGTATACACTACCAACTAAACGAAAGGATGCATGCATGAGGTTAATAGTTTATTGATAGTCATTAGTTATTCAACTTATAGTCGTATGGTTAATGTTGCTGTGCAAGGAAAAAACTGTAACAAGAAGGTTTTCTCTTAACCAAGCTGTTTAGATCTCAGCCTTACAATTAGGGCAATATTTTACAACAGCATTTAGAATAAAACAGTTCCCCCAGAACGCAGCGTTTACTTATTGAGTTGTTGATAGACTGACGAAATAGACATACACTACGTGTATACACTGATAGGGGACTTAAGTGAGCGTAAAAGTCAATAATTCGTTTGTTGATTTTGATATTAAACGACTTGTTCAATGACTTACATCTGTATCGCTTCCTGTGGCTGGTTATTTTCTTGTTTTCCCAAATAAAGAATTTGCAAAAATGCTCGGCGTAATCTCTTCGTGCGCCAACAGTAAATAACGGGATTGCACAGGGAACCTAACATCATTAACGTTGCCGTCCAGCCCGCAAAACGGTTTGAAACATGCCGTTCTAGACTTACGGAAAAACCCAATATAATGACTATTATTGCCGGCAAGTACGTTGCAGTTAATACAACAAGGATGATTCCTAGGGTTTTGGCCGCTTTGTTATTTTTCCTGCTTGTTCTCATTTCTTCTACTCTTAAATGTTCAGTCTGTGTTCTTTGTTGACGCCGGGTTTCCGAGAAAATGTACAAGTATATTCCTATGATAAAAACTATGCAAATTAAACCGAAAGTGGTAAGCGTTGAGAACGATACGTTACTATAAACATTGTAAATGTCTGAAGCTCTGTTTATTGTAGCAAGAATGCTTTCTTGAATTGTCACATATATCGTAAAACCCCACGCTGAAAGCACACCGCAGATGACTCGCCGTGTTGTGACAATATCTCGATACCTCAATGGTTCTTTAACAGCAATGCACCTATCAATAGTTATTAACACAAGATGAGTTAAGGTGGCGAAGATATGGCATCCAACGGATACAAAGCTTACTCTTTCCAAAGCTCCACAGAAAGTCCCCCTCTCTAATATTCACTCCACTTCTACCGCGATTCGTATCGGCTGTCCCACCAACCCTGTCAAGAGATCCGCCCCGGCCAGGCAAGCCAAAAGGATTGTTGATTTATTTCGCAACCTTTCCCTCGTTGCTACTGCAAAGATCACCAGAGCATTCAACAGCACAGTAGGTAAAACTGAGATGGAATTGATGCTGATTATAGTGACCAGATGGTTGTAGGTTCCTTCCGTCAGAAGGAACTCGTCTCGCCAAGCCACCTCTTCCAAATAAGGACATCCCTCTGATTTATAGAATTCGATAGATGAAGAAGTATTCGCCATGTTATTTTGCGTTGAGGATGTTTATAAAACTTCACATGCTTAAGAAAAGACGGGATGCAAACAAACTCAAGACGGTTTTGAATCACAACTTTTATAATCATTTTTATCCATTCTTCCTTTTCTTTTTGTAAAAAGGCTTCTAATTCATTGGTACAGAACAAAGCTAGAATTTCTTGGTCAATTTATGTATAAGATTTTTCTGTTTCCGAAAGGGACACAAAGCTACTAGTGCACCTGTAAGACTAAGTATCATCTCACTGTTTTTTGTTTTTGTTGCGCACCCGTTCTTTCTCACGCCCATTTATTTCCTAGCCCCTGCTACGCAGGCTATTTGCTTGCGGTTTTTCTTTTTCTTTTTTTTTTTGCTCTTTGCTTATCGTATGATTAGCTAAAAGGTTTCACTCATGAAGTTAGCCGCTTTAACTACGGAGTGTCGATTCTAAATCGTTTTCAGAATGAATGAAGAGCGCTTACCATTTTCATGAAAAACCCGGAAATTTGGGGGAGAATTCAAATGGAACGGTTCATCCCGGTGGAAATTTTCCGGAAAAAAAGTAATACCTTTCGAAGTGTTACCTTTTTCCCGTTTTTACCGAAACGACCGAAATTTTCTGTAACATTTGCCTGGATTACTAGTGCCAGGCTTCATGTCGAGAGAAAGCGAAAAATTTTTTTCGGTGCCAAAAAAATACCAGTACTTACCATTTGACGGAAATTTTTCACCGAAATTTCCGTACCAATGGTAAGCGCTCGAAGTGTTTTCAAAGGCCATTATTCATTCCTTCCCGTCTCCCTTATTAAGAATCTGCCTATTTTTGTCGATCTACACTCAATTGTTTCATAAAAGGTGCAATTAACAGCTCACTGGAAATGTGGCTTTCCAAAGAAGAATCTGAAGGGAAATGAGGCTTTTCAACGGAGGAAGCTTAAAAAAAATACAACTGAAAAGACAAAAATAAAAAACTAGATAGGAATAAATCATAGGTACGCTAACTAAATTCAACTCTCGCCTTGCGGACACCCCGATGAAACGGACAGTAGCTAAACCCCAGGCATAAATGAATTACAGATGTTTGACACAATTAAACTTCCTCTATTAGACTCTCGCTAAGAGGACGCTTACTCGAGGTCGTAACAGTGTCCGCTATGAAGGGGGTTTACTGTATTCAGTTTGGAAAGAGAGTGACTTCAGCTATCGCGTTACTCTCGACGTGACAAAGTACCACTTGTCCTCAAACACTTATATACCGTCTGTCACACTGGTCACAAGGCCAATACTTGTTGCCTAGAGTTTGATGAAATGAGCCGTGCTGTTTTTAAAAATAACCGGAGACATGGTATCACAATAAAGAGTACGTGGTGGCGTAGTAACTGATTAACTGATTGGTAGTGACCAGTTTGCCAAGACAACGAAACAGTTGTCATTCTTCACTATACTGGGAGGTATATATTTTTTTATTTAAAAAAAGTAGTTTTGACTGTCAGATCAAAGTGTCTGAAAGTAGTATTCACTACCAGTATCCGTGAGATAGAGACAGTTGTCGCGTTGAGAGATGGTCCGCTGACGCGCCAAGAACCTTTGGTTAGTCTTCGTATTATATAGAGAGGTCGGCATATGTGTATACAAATGGAAACTCGGCTTGTTCTTTTTACAAAGCCTCACTGAGACGGTTTCAAGACTCGCAGTAGAACTTTCCGTTCGCATTGTCAGGCCAGGCGTCGAATTATTAAGGTGAGGTTTGATATCTTATTATAAAATAGGTCAAAATATAATTGGCCAAAGTTTTAGTTTGTTTCTTTAAAAATGGTAGCTAGAGCTGTTTTGGCCAAGTTCCCGACTCAAACCTCCATACCCAGTAGTAACTTTTAGACCTCACTAAATGATTTCAAAAGACAGTCATCGTAAACTTCAATTGTCTTGGGAGTAGAAAATAGAACAAAACAAAAAGACAAAAAAATTCAGCAGTAGAATGCAAGGTGTAAATTAAACCATTTATAGACACAAAAATTTATTATTTGAGTAGACTAGAGATATTTAGAAACAAAACATTTTATACTATTGAAACACCAACGGTTTAATTTGTTTCGTTGGAGTTTCGCGCTTAAACTGCCTTGAACATAATTATGCGAATAATTAGTCCGAGACAAAGCAATGTTACACTCTAGCGGAAAAGAAGAAAAGATTTAGAACTCTTTGTTTTTTAAGTACTCTACCGGGACATTTGCTATGCAGAATGAGCACAATCAATTTGCATTTGTGATATTTTGCACATGATAATCGAGTTTTATTTTCGGTCGAACTCGGACACTAAGAGAGGTATGTCAGTGTGAGTGGATTCTAGACAGATCGTCTCAAGCCAGAATGCAACATGAACAGCGTTCATTTATCATATTGGAACAAGCGTTTAAGCTAAGAATCCACTGCTAATTGGCAAAGTATTAAAGAAGGTGACGGAATTTGTAGCATTTGGCGCCAAGACATGGCAGATGAGGTAAGGTAAAATCGTATGACTGTGATTATTGCTACTAACCTGCCGAAATGAACAACATTGCTTTCAGGCTTTCTGCAAGTTGTTCTGGAATTTTGGTGTAAGATGTACTTCAGCCGGCTGAAAGCGAAAAGTATGCTAAAGGAAAATGCTTACATTGGTTGTTAAGATAATTTAATTTTAATGAGTATTCCGAACGACCAAGAAAGAATGGCAACGGGAACTATTTTTTCCGCATTCAGAAGGTCGGCTGGCCCAGTACGTAAACTTTAATTTATAAACAAAGAATGGTGGTGTATTTCAGTTCTTTATTAACAGTGTCGCTCAGGTTCAAAGGAAAAAATTAAAAGATAAAACGAACCAAGGATTGATCAATGAAAATCCACGACTACTTTACCTATTAGCGGATTTCTATTTTTCTTCTAGAATAAACGTTATACATTATCTATCAGCATACCATTTAGTTGGTAGACTGTGTCACAACCTTGGTGATACTTTCGGTACAAACAACAAACAGTGCTATATTCAACAAGTATATTTGATTTAATGTCAACCCTTTTTCAAAGTCAATTGACTCAAACAGCAATTACATCCCCCTGGGCCGAGTTTCCTAACTCTGTAAAAGTTTTTAACTTTAATTTTTTGCATTTTCTTGAAAATTGCTATCATTATATTTTTTCGTTATGGTTTTTTTCGCTATTGATCGTTTCACATAGTAAAGAAAGTTATGGCCTTTTACAGAGTAGATCAAAAGTTTTGAGGACGTTTGAAACCATTGTGTTATGACGTGTTTAAAGTAGTCTAAAAGTCAGAGCTGCAAGCCATCAAAATGCACAATACATACAGTCGAATTGTGCGCGTTTTTCGTCTCCCTGTCCAGTTTTTATTTCATAACTTAATTTCTACGAACGTATCTATCGAAATAAAATGAACAAATAAGTAATTTGTTCGATATGCGACCAGACGTTGATGGTTTCGTTGCAGCGACTGAAGGAGCTTTGTAAACATTCTTGTGCAGAGATCTCAGGTTTTCGATAACCTGTTAAAATGTACGGTTCGCGGAACTCAAATGGGACTTTGAAATTTGGAAGATTGAATTTGTCCTCGCTACGACCATAATCCCGATCAGGAGTTTTCCCTCCGCAGTAACTGTCCATTTCGAAGTTGAAGTTCCTGAACTTGCGCATGCTCATTACAACAGTAGATGAAGAGTCAATATTACCGGAAGTCACAATGTTCTTTTGGTTTCTTTTCAAAACAAACTCGTCTTCCGGTTGAAGTTTAGAAGCAAAATAAGGGGTTAAGGAGTGCATCTATTTCTAAAAAGCTGATATACATACCGTTTATTTTTTTGCCAGTGACGACGGTGTAATTATCATTATTAAAATAGCGTGGGAGCTGCTTGTCACTCACCAAAGCGGAAAATATGCAAATTAGTCTAAAGGGCAGACTTAATTAATTACAGTGTATTGCGCGCGAAAGTTGACAACATAATCAATGAAGAACGGACTACCTAAGCAAAGTACGTGCTGAGGATCATGCAAAGATTGATTTTCAAAGAATGATCTTCTTCACTACTCACGTCACATGACTCCAAGCCAGGGCTCCCTGCTCCAAACTGCGAAGACAGCCGCCCAAGACGCTTCGCAGAGAGACGGCTGTTTTCGCAGGCTACCCCCAAAATAGCCTTTGCCTTAGATTGTGCTAGAATAATTTTTGGCCCAAAAAAAGAAGGCTGGGAGGTGTTATTGTCACATTCATGCGACCTGGGTCCACAGGAAGCGACTTAAAACGGGTGGGAGGTCTTATTGTCACATTCATGGGAACTGGGTCCCACAGGAAGTGACCCAGGTTTGACCCATTCATTCCGGGATCACTCGGCTTTTACGAAAACACGTAACGGAAGACCACGTGACCAAAAGAAACAATGGGCTCAATGGGTTATCAATGGGTGTGACCCAGATCTCAACGACTGGGATAGATTACTGGCCAAGTTTCATTGGAATCGGAGAGATAGCATGTAGTACACCTGCCTGGTGCACCCATGGACTCAGGTTTAATTTTTAACGGAAGACCACATGACCAAAAGACCAGCTCAATGGGTTCGGGCTTTCCACAAGTTGCTCGGCAACTTTTTGGCAACTTCTCCTTTTTCGAGCAAATTTGATCGTTTCGAACAACTTTTTGCATTCCGGGCAATTTCCCCAGTATTTTTCTACTAATTCTGAGATATCGGAGCAGCTTGTCCTTGCATCCCCTTCCTCCCCCTCGGGCAAAAGCCGGGCTGCTAGGTAAACAGTTTTTTAAAGAAAATTCAAAATGGTGGACGAAGATTCACAAGCCACACTCGACTGATTCGAGTGACTCAGGTGAAGAAGGTCATTCAACAATTTTATTGGCTCATACCAAATTTTTCACAAGATTAATATTACATAAAATATTGATGCGTAGTCTTTACTCGTGCAGTTTTGGTTTTAATTGAGGACAAAGTTATTTAGAAACGCTGGTTACGCCACAAAATTGCTCATTGTCATTTGTTACACAATTTGAATCAGACCAAATAAAGGAGAGAGCAACAAAAAACACTGAAAAAAGGCTTTTGTTTTTTCCAGCAATGTTTGAGCAACCTTCGCGTTACAAAAAGCAACTTTTGACTCTTTTGAGCGACTCGATTTTGATGAACTTTTTGAGAAATTGCGGAAAACGCTTTGGAAAATTTCGAGCAACTCGACTTGCCTTAGGGGAGGGGTAGGTGGGCAGTTGCATAGCTGCTGGCCACGCGAATAAAAAGGCTCTATAATATTAGCCTAGTATTCTATTTTGGCGGATCTCCGCTGGCTCATGTAGCATTTTCACCCAGACCATAATGCACCTTGTCTTTGCCCCCCAAATTTAGCATAACCATTGTTTTCGATTTCTCTTGGGACGAGTGTAAAAAACGTGAGAAACTGGAAACAATAGTGATGTAAAATTTGGGCGTTAACAAGGTGTATTAATGGTCTCGGTGGAAATGTTTGATTCAGTCTACAATTTTCCTCATTAGCATACGATTTTGATAACCCATTAAAAGACGTCGCCATATTGCAATAACGTCACGTGTCAAAACAAAATGACAAAAAATATGATTGAAAAAAAAAATGTATAGTGAAAAAAAAAACAATAGGCACGCTTGCTGCAGGGATTTGATCTGACGAAAGAATAAAGCAAAAGATTTCTTTACTATGGCCAATTCTATACCTTCTCTAAACTCGTTTGGTGTAAACTTGAAATGATATCGCGCTATTTGGCTTTTTATTGGAATGGACTGCCCAAACTTTCACTGTAGGCTTATTTGTGGGCGTCCGCAAATTAAATGGCTATTTTTGGCCACATTTGTTTGTAAAGAGTTGACGCAATTTTATTACACCAAATATACACCATAAGTGTACTGTATCTATCCTCGTTTAGGAATTATAATTAAGCCAACGAAGGAAGAACTCTTTTTTTATTTTCATTTATCTTGACGGTTGGTTATTCATAGCTCCGAGGTAATTCTTCTGATTCTTTACTCGTTTCACGGCCATATATACATTTTTTAAATTAAACCTATCTGTTAAACGCTTGTTTTAATAAAGATAGTATATATTTTAAAATGTACTGTAAACTAAGAAAATTGAGAAATGTGAATAAATTGTTGTTGTTGTTGAGTTACGACGCAGGAGAGAGACTTGATTGCGTTTACTGCGGGACTGCCAACCTCAATTTCAGCCACGCGACCAGGTTTCCTCTATACCTATCGTTTCCTGTCATTTCCTATCATTTCCTGTTCAAAAACAAACAAACAAGAAAGAAAAAAAGGGAGGTCAGGCAGCTGATTAAGAGCCGAGTCTCACCTACGAATCAAACTTCAAACCTCCTGAAAAATTTAAAGAAGGACGCGCACTAACCGAGTCGCGCTTATCTCGGTTATACGTTAGTACTTCTACCTTTTCAGGACTCCCGCCCTCTCCCTCCCCCTCCCCCCCCCCCCACCCCCACCAGGCATCCCCCGTGGTTAAAGAATAAAAAAAAAAAAAAAATATATTTTTAAATTTTAATATTAATATTAATTTATTTATAATTTTAAAAAAAAGTATATTTTTTGTTTTATTTTTTAGTGTTTTTGATATAATATTAATATTTTAATTTAAATAAAAATAAGA